GTTGACAACTGTGCCCAGATGAGGCAACCTCACCCCCTTTCTCCCCCAGCACTGAGAACCACCAGTGTAGCCCATCCAAAGGGTGAGAGTGAGAACAAGCAAATAGGCCATCATTAAATTACATTCTGGCATTGTCCAGGACTTCGATGCACTGGACAGAGATCTAAACGTCTGCACTGCCTTTTCACAGCTAACAGTAACAGAACTGTGTGAGCACCATAGAAGCCACTGGGTGAGGGCATCAGTTAGATCGCCCCATTCACACCCTCTAGCATTTCACTTTGTAGGAATCTGAGGGATGGGTGGGATAAATGGCTCACCCAAATGGAATAGTCTGAACTTGAACGCAGAACTGTGGGTTTCCAACCCTCTGTTCTGAATAATAGCCTGCTACTATAATCCCACAAAGAAATGGGAAGACAGACTGGGGGTTAGAATTAAGGGAATGGGAAATCAAGTTGACCTTAAGAAAAAACAAAATTCATATTAATATTAGTACCTGGCGGCTCAGATGGTAAAAAATCTGCCTGCAATCCAGGAGACCTGGGTTCGCTCCCTGGGTGGGGAAGATCCCCTGGAGGAAGATATGGCTACCCACTGCCATATTCTTGCCTGGAGAATCCCATGGACAGAGGAGCCTGGTGGGCTGCAGTCCATGGGGTCGCAAAGAGTCAGACACGACTGTGACTAACACTTTCACTTTTTCACTTTTCACTAGTCTCTTAAGGGTTAAAAATACAAAAGCCTTTAGATATTTCATGTGGGCAAATGAGTGCCAGAATTTGTATCAATGTGGACTTTAATTCCTACAAAAAAATGTTTCCATACAAGCCCTCATGAACTGCTCTCTTCTCTGCATCCAGAAAAGTGCTCGCCATCCAGGACATGCTGAAACCTAGTTCAGCAAACGCCTTGGTGAACTTCAGTGGAGTACCTCTGCCACCTGGTGGCAAGTTGAAGAATTGTCCTTCAAACGTGCAAAGCCACGAGGTCCTCTGCAATGTGCTTGACTAAGTGCCTCCTTCTCTGCTGAGTCAGGCACGAATCGATGCTCCAAAGTGACTAACCAGATTGACACCAGATTTTAGCAATTTGGAGAGCAGGAAAACTACTGATTACATATGGAATTACAAAGCTTGAGCAACTCCTAAAGAAAAACATTATTTTGACTTTAAACTTTCCCTGAGAAGCTAACATTCCCCTCATCCTAATTCTCAGAAATATTTTCAGTGCACCATAACGTTTTGCTTTGGAGGCAGAGAAAGACAGCAAGAAAGAAGGCAGGGGAAAAAGAAGAAATGGAAAACGGCGGGGTCACTCCCGCCATATTCAGCGCCAAAACCCATAATTCTTTTAAAAACATGTGCATATTAGCCCAAGATGTTTAAATGTGTGAATCAGGTTCTCTCAGGAATCCAGAAAATCATCTTAAAAAAATGAATAGTGATTTCTTAGCTAACATCATAAATCTACTTAAAAGTGGGATTAGTGACCAATACTAAGATACATGTACATAACTCGTGTTGGTAAAAAATAATAATTTCCTCCAATTGTTTTATATTTCAAATGTAATTGTCTCATGTCTACATTCCTCAAATCTTTAAACTGTTCTCTTCCTCGCAACACCTGTACCATCCAGTCACAAGTTCTCAACAGGTGCCCTGAGAACAGATATGGGCAGAGGTTGATGCCAGACCCTGATGGGTACAGAGGAGATACCCCTAGCCTTAGAACAGCATCTGCCTGCAAAGATTAGCATGTGAGGCTTCCAGCTCAAGAATACAGTCCTCCACCCACCAGCATTCATTAAAAATAATGAATTATCCCAAACTCCACTCCAGCATGCTGGGAGCAAGGGGCGGGGGGGGGGGGGAATCATTCTTAAAATTACAATTTAAAGTGTATAATAAAAGTGAAACTCTCAACAAAGATTATCATCAAGAGGAGATCTTGCAATTTCCTCCACAGAGGGAAGGAAAGTCAGGTTTGGGGCCCCAGATTCTAAATTCACAGATTCCTCCCTCGTGATGATGGAGGCCAATGGCTGGAATTTCCAGGTGGCCAAACATAGCAACTGAAGTGGAGATCTTGTTTCCATACCAAGAGTGCATTCTGAAAGGCTCAGGGAGGCAGAATGGACAAGGAGGAATGAGAAATTACAAAAGACGCTCCACTTGAACAGAAGGAACGTCAGCACTTCTGGATGTCACGTGCCTCTGGGGCGGGTATCCTAAGTCTAGACTGCATCTTAGGAAAACTGGAGTTGACCTCCGAAGAGGAGCCCCACAGCACACACTGCAGCTTAAAGCCCATTCCTCCTGGCCATTTCTGGCAAACCTCTGATTTCCACTTCTTGTCTGAAATATAGTTTGCTCGGCCAGAGCCAGGAGACCTGAGAACCTCCTAGGACAAATGTTGATCTAAAGGAAACGTCCTAAGTGATTGGTGGTATTTATCCAGGTATTATTTCCACCACCTGCGCTGAGTTTACCAAGCAGGTGGGGAGGGTTGCTCCCGCCTGCGTGTTCCACTCGAGTTGCCCGGATACCACTTGTTAGTTCAACAGGGAACATAAGTGTAATTGTTCCCCTCTTCACTTGAACCCTAAGGATTCCAGATTAGATCGTCTCACTGAACCACAGGAAGGATCCCTGGGTACGTGAACGCTGTGCGGCTGACCAGAGCTGCCCTCTGAAACCAGAAGTGGCAAGCTGTGCAATCGAGAAGATGTTTCAGGGTCTCGCCAAACAAGCGAACATTCCAGAACCCGCCCTCTTGGCAGGCGTCAGTTTTGCTGTGATCACTCCTAATTGTTGGTGATACTAAGGAGCAGATCTCCGAGGTCTCATTCCTTCTCTGCAGCCAAAATTGCTGATGTACATTAAAAACCACCCTCATAAGCAACCATTTGTAGGCAAAACCATCACGCCCATTCCAAGACAGACTTGGCTTCCACAGACTGGAAAAAATAAGAAATTGGGGGGGTGGGGAAATAAGCCCAGAGAAGAACACAATTATAATAAACGTAATGCAAGGAGTAAAATTCAAAGTTGTGGCTACCATAAAATCTTTGGCAAATCTTAAAATAAGATTACGAAACATCGTGGAAATGTTTTAAGTTACCTTTTTACGAAATCAACCTTTTTTTGGTTCTGTTTTCATCACAGCACTTACACAACTGTGATTCATGAATTATGTGCATAATTTTTTATTTGAGGTCAGCCTCCCACCTGGTGCTATACTGATCTGTTTACATGCCCAATGCCCCATATATTAAGGGGCACATAGTAGGTGCTCAAGAAAATATCGATGCTATCTTTGCAACAGAACCGTGATTTCATCATCTCGATGGGTCACCTAGCTGTTTCAAAAGCACTCTGCTTCATTTCCTAGTTTTCTTATTACACTTTAACTAAGCAAGATGTTACAGGGGTGAAGGGTATATTTTTTTTTGCAACTTCCTGTGAACCTATGATAAAAAACAGAGACATTACTTTGTCAACAAAGGCCCATCTATTCAAGGCTATGGTTTTTCCTGTAGTCATGTATGGGTGTGAGAGTCAGACTATAAAGAAAACTGAGCACCGAAGAACTGATTTTTTTTTTTTTTTAGAACTGAGGCTTTTGAACTGTGGTGTTGGAGAAGACTCTTGAGAGTCCCTTGGACTGCAAGGAGATCCAGCCAGTCTATCCTAAAGGAGATCAGTCCTGAATATCCATTCGAAGGACTGATATTGAAGCTAAAGCTCCAATACTTTGGCCATCTGATGCGAAGAGGACTGATTGGAAAAGACCCTGATGCTGGGAAAGATTGAGGGCAAGAGGAGAAGGGGACGACAGAGGATGAGATGGTTGGATGGCATCACTGACTCAATGGACATGGGTTTGGGTGAACTCCGGGAGTTAGTGATGGACAGGGAGAGGCCTGGCGTGTGGTTCATGGGCTCACAAAGAGTCAGACACGACTGAGCGACTGAACTGATGATTATTCCAATCTTGGATTTTACCTAAATATTGGAATTTCCATTTCGCTCTCTCACCACCATGATGTCACAATTTTCATGGCTTCCTGGACTTTACCAGTACTTTCTGGATTTCCCCACCTCTCCTTCCAACAATCGGACACCCTGGGCAGCTTAGTAACAGCTTTTTCTTTTGCCCTCCAACTCATGGCAGAGTACCTCTCTCTACACAACAGCTACCCTTCTGAGGCACCAGCCAAGAAGCTAAGTGTGAGGACAATTTTCACACCATTTACCCTTCTCTGCCTTCTCCACACAGAGACCACCCACGGCAGTAACTTTCAAGAAGAATTAGCTGGAGTTCCAAGGGTCAGGGAGATGTGTTATGTTGCTAAGCCACCCATGCCCACAAGATTGTTAGTTGGCAATTGTGTCCAGGCTCCAAGTCGGTGAGCCACACGCTCCTGACTCGTCTTTAGCCACGTCCATGCAGCCTCATGTTACACAAAGAATCAGGCCACCACTGAGCTGCCAAGAGTCTTGGACAACTGTACAAATTGCATTAAAATCAACAGAAAAGCTTCCCATGTCACAATATTTGGATAACTTCTCACCCCTGCACACCACCACCCCCCCCACCCCCACCCAAAAGCCACTGACTGGTCTGACATTGGCTTGAATCGCACAGTCAGATTCAAACTTTTAAACAAACCACTGTGCAGATATTAACTTCCCCGGGGTACTGGGAACACAATCCAGACCCGCTGCACATGAGGAGAGATCCTGTATCTGGAGGCAGAGACGAGTTAGGACTGCAGAATGGGCTCAGACACTGAGTTGACCAGCAGTCCCCCACCAGCCCCAAGCTGAGTCCACTCTGACTCACCTCCTAGTTGGTGACCTTCCCCAGGAGAAAGAAACAATTCCTGCCTTTAATATTCACATCAGCCTCTGTGGGTCGTAAGACAAAGGCTGTCTGACTTTTCAGGATCTTCACAGGCCCAGAGCATCGTCTTCCGTTGACTCTTATAAAAGCAGATGACGGCAGCTCAAGAAGGAACAGCTTTGAAACCTGCGCCAGCAGTCAGACCAGGCTACCAGGAAAGAGAAAAAGAAGTGAAAACCAGTTTTCATTGCCTCCTGAACCAAAGTGGGAGAGAGGAAGAGAAGGCCACGGGAGGTGAGAGAAATGATGTTCGTTTATTAAAATGCTTTGATAAAGTAGCATGATCAAGACATATTCTCACCACCAGGCAGTAACCCAGAGAAAGACTTGTGCCCCATCCTCTTACAGACTGTTTTTAGCAGAAAAGTAATGTCCATTGGTATAGCATTTTTAAATTTATTTATTTTTAATTGAAGGATAATTACAACATTGTCTTGGTTTTTGCCATACATCAACATGGATCAGCCATAGGTATACATATATCTCCTCCCTCTTAAACCTCCCTTCCACCTCTCACCCCATCCACCCCTCTAGGTTGTCACAGAGGTAGAACATTTTCAAATCAATAAAGTACTTACACATACAGAAACTCACAAACTCTCAGCAGCCCTAAGCTATTGTACCCACTTTACAGATGAGGAAACTGAGGCTCATAGAAACACAGAGCAAGTGGAGGACCGGGATAATGGTGGGAGAGTCAGCAGCCAGTCTGAGATGGAAGAAACAGGTGAGACCCGCCTTTCTTCTCTTTGGATAAAAATTAGAATAAAACATCGCCCCCAGATCAGGGTGTGGGGGTTCATCTCCACTTTTGTGATGGGCCTAGAGCTGCAGAAAGGACTTCAGAGAGTTTGTTTCTTCTTCTTCTGACAATTCAGAGAGAACAGCCCCTAAAGCTGATAAATTCTCATTTCAAAGGCAAGTCATAGGACACCTCTCCAAAAAGAAATCCACTCAGAAATGTGAGAGGACAGGAGAGATTTATAATCAAAGGGCCCCGGCAGTTATTTGAATCAGTAAGTGCCTCAAATGGGACAGCAGCTTCGGCCGAAACATCAAAGGCCTTTAAAGCTGGGCAGCTCACCTTGAAGTGACTCTGGAACAAGACATGGCCACTGATGGAGCCGGGAAATCTCCAACCAGGGCCCCAGTGGCCGCAGGAGGTCAAGTTCAAGACTCGAACCTCTGACCTCCAATGATGAAAGCAAGTGGGCCACACCCTCTGGGGCTGCTGGAGAAGCCCCTCTGGTCCAGGCTTCACAGAGCGCCCATGATTCATCCTTGTGATTTCCACGTGGAAACAGACGTGTCCCTGGGGGATGGGCCGTAGGAGGGAGAGGAAAGGGTACCATGGGTGCAACGGGAGGGGGGTGCTGACTGCGCCTTGCCCCTCAGCTCAGTTCAGTTCAGTCGCTCAGTCATGTCTGACTCTTTGTGACCCCATGGACTGCAGGACTCCAGGCCTCCCTGTCCATCACCAACTCCCAGAGTTTACTCAAACTCATGCCCATCAAGTCGGTGATGCCATCCAACCATCTCATCCTCTGTCGTCCCCTTCTCCTCCTGCCCTCAATCTTTCCCAGCATCAGGGTCTTTTCAAATGAGTCAGCTCTTCACATCAGGTGGCCAAAGTACTGGAGTTCCAGCTTCAGCATCAGTCCTTCCAATGAATATTTAGGAGTGATTTCCTTTAGGATGGACTGGTTGGATCTCCTTGCAGTCCAAGGCACTCTCAAGAGTCTTCTCCAACACCACAGTTCAAAAGCATCAATTCTTCTGCGCTCAACTTTCTTTATAGTCCAACTCTCATATCCATACATGACCACTGGAAAAACCATAGCCTTACGTAGATGGACGTTTGTTGGCAAAGTAATGTCTCTGCTTTTTAACCTGCCATTTAGGTTGGTATAATATGCTGTCCAGGTTGCCCCTCAGAGCCCCATCCTAACAACTCACCCTAGCCTGACAGCACTGGGGTACAAATCCAAGCCTGGCGGGCCCCCCTTGATTATATAAAAGTAAAGCTGGGTACACAAACCTTGTGGGAAGGAGTTTGCTGTCAAGTTCAACCTACAATTGCCTTTGTGCTCAGTCACTCAGTCGTGTCTGACTCTTGCAACCCTGTGGACTGTAGCCCACCAGGCCCCTCTTGTCCATGGGATCCTCCAGGCAAGAATACTGGAGTGGGTTTCCATTTCCTCCTCCAGGGGATCTTCCGCACCCGGGGATGGACCAGGAGTCTCTTGCATCTCCCACCTTGGCATGTGGGTTCTTTACTTTTGTGGGGGCCGCGGGGTTCTCAACCCTTTTTTTTTTTTTTTTTACTTTTTGGCCATGCCACACAGCATATGGGATCTTAGTTCCCCAGCCAAGTGTAGAACCCAGGCCCCCTAGGGTGGAAGTGCAGAGTCTTAACCTCTGGACCACCAGGGAAGCCCCACCTTTAGGAAACTTTTCAGACTGATTTCCTCTGCCTTCTCCAGCTGTATTCTGTGCAGCCACGTTGGTGTCCCTGTAGGCTGCGGAGGAGGGGGGCACTTGCTTATTTCCATGTATTGCGTCCAGTTGACCTTCCCTGGGCTGGGTCACTCAGACTGTATCTCCCCGTCTGGTAGAGAATCTGGGGGTACCCCACCCTGGGCAAGGGCTGAGAGCAAAGAGTGTACTTCCCTACTGAAAGCACCCAAGCCAACCTGAAGGCTGGGGGAAGGGGCTGGACAGGGAGCCTGAAGAAGGCCCAGCCCCCGTCTGCCAGGTCCTAGGGCGACCCCCGGAGCAGCAACCACTGAGCAGCCCCCCACCCCCCACACACCTGCTCAGGAAAGAGAAATAAATATCTCGTTGAAGGTGCTCCAAACACACACAAAAGCAGAATGGAGGGAGGCGGCAGCCTAGAATAGAACTTCCTTTTGATGAGAATTTGGATTCTATGCCAATTTTTTTTTCCTTTGGCTGCACTGGGTTTTGGGGCTTCTCTCTAGTTGTGGCCAGTGGAGGCAACTCTTCCTTGAGGTGTGCGGGCTTCTCATTGTGGTGGCTTCTCTTGTTGTGGAAACAGTGGCTGACTTTATTTTCCTGGGCTCCAAAATCACTGCAGATGGTGACTGCAGCCATGAAATTATAAGACGCTTACTCCTTGGAAGCAAAGCTATGAGCAACCTAGACAGACTCTTAAAAAGCAGAGACATTACTTTGCCAATAAAGGACTGTCTAGTCAAGGCTTTGGTTTTCCAGTGGTCATGTATGGTTGTGAGAGTTGGACTATAAAGAAAGCCGAGTGCCAAACAATTGATGCTTTTGAACTGTGGGGTTGGAGAAGATTCTTGAGAGTCCCCTGGACTGCAAGGAGATCCAACCAGTCCATCCTAAAGGAAATCAGTCCTGAATACTCATTGGAAGGGCTGATGCGAAAGCTGGAACTCCAATCCTTTGACCACCTGATGGGAAAAGCTGACTCATTTGAAAAGACCCTGATGCTGGGAAAGATTGAAGGCAGGAGGAGAAGGGGATGACAGAGGATGAGATGGTTGGATGGCATCACCAAATTGATGGACATGAGTTTGGGTAAACTCTGGGAGTTGGTGATGGACAGGGAGGCCTGGTGTGCTGCAGTCCATGGGATCACAAAGAGTCGGACACGCCTGAGCGACTAAACAAGAACTCTTGTTGCAGAGCACAGGCTTTAGGGTGTGTGGGCTTCTGTAGTCGTGGCTCCCAGGCTCTCGAGCACAGGCTCAGTTGCCCCACGGCATGTGGAATCTTCCCGAACCTGGAATGGAACCTGTGTCCCCTGCAATAACATGCAGATTCTTAACCACTGGACCACCAGGGAAGTCCTATGCCTTACATTTTAATCCACCAGTCAGTCTCACTTCATGCCCTGTGAAACAACCGAGCTTCCCTCCATTCTCCCAGCTCAGTCTTCTGAAGTTTTCTTCCAGATTTCTCTTCTCACTCTAAAAGTTACAAGAAGTTAGGCCCTTTTCTTGTCTTTTCATTTTTTTTTATTGTGGTAAAATGCCACATAAAATTGACCATCTTCACCATTTTTTAGTGTGCGGTTCAATGGCATTTAGTACATTCACATTGTTGTACGGTCTACACCACCATCATCTCCAGAACTCTTTCAATATCTCAAACAGAAACTCTGTTTCCAGTAAATAGTAACTCCACTCCAGCCTCTGCTAACGACCATTCTGCTTTCTGTCTCTATGGATCTGACTCATCCCGGCATCCCATGCAAGTGGAACCATTCAATGTCTGCCCTTTTATGACCAACTTTTGTCTCTCAGCACACGTGCCTGCACAAACAATTGCTCAGTCAGGTCCGAATCTTCGCGACCCCATGTACTGTGGCCCACCAGGCTCCTCTGTCCATGGGATTCTCCAGGCAAGAATACTGGAATGGGTTGCCATTTCTTCCTCCAGGGGATCTTCCCCACCCAGGGATCGAACCCCTATGTCTCTTGTGTCTCCTGCTTTGGCAGACGGTTCTTTATCCCTAGCACCACCTGGGAAGACTATCTCTCAGAATGATGAAAAGCAACCTCATGGTTCATCCGTGTGTGCCAGGGTCAGGATTCCCTTCCTTTTCAAGACTGAATAATATTCCATTCTGTGGATGGACCACGTTTTGCCTGCCCAGTCATCCTTCAATAGACACTTGAATTGTTTCCAGCTTTTGGAGGTTGTGAAAGATGCTGCTTTAAACACTCACTGACAAGTGCTGTTAGATTTTGCTGCTCTTTCTTACAGCTGCCCAAACTGTTCAGTTAAGTTCAGTTCAGTTACTCAGTCCTGTCTGACTCTTTGCAACCCCATGAACCACAGCACGCCAGGCCTCCCTGTCCATCACCAACTCCCGGAGTTTACTCAAACTCATGCCCATTGAGTCGGTGATACCATCCAACCATCTCATCCTCTGTCATCCCCTTCTCCTCTTGCCCTCAATCTTTCCCAGCATCAGGGTCTTTTCAAATGATTCAGCTCTTCACATCAGGTGGCCAAAGGATTGGAGCTTTGTCTTCAGCAACAGTCCTTCCAATGAACACCCAGGACTGATCTCCTTTAGGATAGACTGGTTGGATCTCCTTGCAGTCCAAGGGACTCTCAAGAGTCTTCTCCAACCGCACAGTTCAAAAGCATCAATTGTTTGGCACTTGGCTTTCTTTATAGTCCAACTCTCACATCCATACATGACTACTGGAAAAACCATACTGAGAGGGTTAAAAATAAACGGTGCCTCACAGTAGATTGGCGGTTGCCTGTTACAACATCCCAGCATCCCTGTCAGAAGCTCGGGCCCAGGGGTCTGTCTCAGCAACTTCCAAGGGCCCCTTGCTTTTCCGTGCCTCCCCACATGATCACCAACCCCCACCATAGGCCCAGTCCTCGAAAAATACAGACCCCCAACTCTCACACACAACCCAGCCTTCACACAACACAACTCTCACACAGAACCCAACTCACACACAACCCAGTTGTCACACACCCCACCTCTCTCACATAACCTCGATCCGCCAGACTCCCCGTTGTCTCCGTGGACCTCACGGAGCAGCCTCCCACCCACACGCCTCTTCCCAGCCTCAGGGCATCACTCCAGGGCCCCAGCATTTTCATCCCCATCCTCAGCCCCCTCTAAACCGCATACGTTTGAAAACAGAATGCCTCCTGCCTCTGTCCTGGGGGCAAGGGCAGCTCCAAGTCTCCTGGACACAAAAGCCCTGC